CAGTAGGGCAACGATTAATATAAAGATTAGCAGCAAATATGAAAACACATCTACAGGAAAAAACCACAACCTGCCTTTTTGGATTACATTTGTACAACACCGCCATCTATCGATAAAATTGGTTAACTATTGTATTTTAGACTAGAGATGTTATGGAGGTTCGATTCCGATTCCAAAAGTTCGGCACTTCCGATTGATTTTGCACTTTCGATTCCGATTTCGGTTCCGTTAAATTTTAGTCGGAAGTTATATCGGAGGTCGTAGGACAGTGGTGGCGGCAGCCGCGATCAGCGTGTACAAACAATATTATGCTTGTCGCCCCGGGGAAACTTCCTCGCCCCGTGCCTTCTGTCGATTACGCTTAAACTTGATGTTTTGTTTCGTATTTGGCAATTGGCATGTTGTGCGTTTCGCGCTTCATTTATACCTATCCGAGTTTTTGATTAGTTTAGTAGTGTTTTTTGACGTGTGACAAATTTATTTGAATTGGGCAATGAAGCTAAAATCAAGTGCCATTTGGAATTATTTTAATGAAGTTTCTGAGAATGCGGCAAAGTGTTAACTATGTGAGAAGATATATTCACGAAAGGGAGGTACGACTACTTCGTTAAAAAGTCATTTAAAGTCTGTGCATGCCACTGAATGCGAGGAATTAAAAAAAAATGAAACTGAAAAGAAAAATACAGTGCAATAGACCTGCCCTTAACACATCTCTTCTGCCTCCACCTCCGATTCCGGTTCCGATTTCGGTTCCGGTTCCAACAAACAAAATTTAAAAACTCCGCTTCATTATATCATTATAGAACATCATTTAACATTATTTAATTGTGATTTATAATATGATATTAGTTTAAAATGCACTTGATGACTCCATCAACGCCACCATTGAACAAATTTGTACATATACCTCATACCCATACTTCAGAATATTTATCATAACTTTTGATGGAATGAACTAATTTTAGTGAAATAAAGACTAAATGTAACCTGAAGATACACTTTATAATTTCCTTAATGATTCTCATGATATAAATTAGTAGTTTATATGTTATATGTTAACAAAACAACAGACAGACAGACAATTATGAAAACGGTAGAAATTTTTTTAAATTTAATTTCTTATTTTTAGTATCTCTCAATCACTTTTATTACAAAAATATAAAATGTACAGACGTCTGCTATTTACATTTTTATTATATGTATAGATTTACTTGTTGTTCACACTATCTACCTATTTCTTACGAGCCAATAATCGCTATTTCCGACGTATGGCCTTGCAAGTTGCATGCGTTGGGTGTCACAGAATTCACATAGTACCGGAAATATGGTTGGTCATCGATCACCCAAGTAACTTACTTACAATTTCATACGGACAAATGCGCGCAGAGGTATAGTTTTATTTAGCTTCTGATTAATAATAACTATGTATGCAATTTCTGTACGTAGTACTATTATTTATTCTGTGATCAAAGTGAGATCGTCAGGTATATTCTATCTCCCAAAAACGTTGAATCTCATTTATATTGTTGATAATAACGTTGCTTTGATAGGATTTTACGTTACCACATAAAATACCCGAGACGTGTTTGCTGTGCCACAGGTTATGATTGTTCTGATGAAATGATGCCGCTTAATATGATAGAAGAATAGACGTCCCCCACCAACAAGTCTACTGGGCGAGCGCGGCGACTCACGTTTAATTCGGGATCGACGAGTTGAATGTTTTCTAGATATGACCAGTCTGGTTTGTTGAATGTCTTGTTGGGCAGACTGTTAATTAAGTTTTTCATGATAAACACATCTGTTGTAAATAGATAATCGCTGTAAGCAGATGAGCAAGTTATGTTAATAACACCTTTACAGTTGTTTTGCTTTGCTCCTACTCTGAAAATGACACCTTTGCACCTCTGTCGAGTATTGGAGCAACTGAGCTGCCTTCTCAGTAGTCAGGAATGTCTGGGGACCCTGATCAATCAGCACTCGAATTTTGATATAAGTGCTATCAACACATTATACTTTTACTAACGCTGTTGCTAAGAGGGTTTCATTTATTTGTTTTGTGACACGGTGATAGCATTTTAGCGTTGTTCTATTTCTGAGGTCAAAGGCTTCACGTAGGCCTCGTGTGTGAGCGTGTCTTGTCGGCCCTGACACTCGCGGCGACGTTTTTCCGAAATGCAATTTTTGCCGTAGTGATCGTAAAGACAATTGAAGCAATATTTCAAGATTTTGCTGTGGAGTCTTCTTTGCGTCGAGATGATTCGAGTGACATAAATTTATTTTCCAAAAAATTTAAACACTTGCTTAAGTTGGCAAATCCCGAGGATTCTTTAGGGATTCGATGTAATCTTTGTGAGTCTCAACATCTAGTTTTTGAGACAAAATATGTACCACTAAAGAATCCCTCGAGCTTATGTCTACTCCTAGGTTTTTATGGCATTTAGGCTTTCATTTACGCTGTCATAAGTTTTCTTGATATGTGCTGCTGATTCTTGTTAAGCAATAGGTAAATTTAAAATAATGTTCATATGAGACCCAAAAATTAATTTGTTATTATTGTATCGATGATTTAACAAATCCCAACAAACTTGATAGTTGTCCTAACTGATATGAAGGTGCTGTTTCATTTATTCAGGTTCCCCTCTAGGTTTACTTATTTAAAACTGCATTTTCTGGGCGTTTGACAAGGTTAGATTGGTATGAACTGCTTCGCAAAACAAATCCTTGAATGATACCCACTGATGATAATTGCCAATGAACATATGTCCATCTGGAGTGTGGACTTTTCTCGGTGACTTTCAGACCACATCTTTGTATTGATATCTTTCTTGATTTGGTTAAATTTTTGTTCATAGAAGCTGAAGGTTTCTTCATACGCTCCGTTTGAGCCATCCAATCCGCAATCGAGCTCCCAGTGTAAGGTATCGATAGCTGCCCAATGATACTGGCGAGTACGTAATAAATCTTCGAATTCCCATATCTCTGATATTTGATAGGGATCGTTGAAATGCTTTAAAGTTGCTGTTCTGTTTTTTCAACATTTCTTCTGTTTTGCTCGATGTTGATCTTGTACTTACCTGTGGCGTGATTTCTTAGAGTTAGAGAGTTTCTTTTTAGAGACAAATATCCAAGGCTTTAACAGTGGTGTTCCAGGTCTATCCTCTGTCAAAAGCTGATAGTTTTTTAATATACGCTCTAATGTTGTCAAATCTCTCTTTCAGACTTACACGCTCTTGATCAATTTTTTCTCTCCTTGGTACACCCAAATCCAGTTGTGATAAATACTGATAATTCTTCTCATACTCCAACCAATAATTGTCCAGAATATTTAATCTGCGTTTGATATAGTACGCAGTCTTTCTATCAGACCCGTCCTTCTTGAAATTGGTATACAAATTTTCAATTGCTGTTGATAGCTGCTGCTGTGTAGTGAGGATATCGATGACAGACATCATGATATAATGATAAGTAAAATGAAAAGATCTTACTTTCTTCTTTTCTTTTTTTTTCTTTTTATGTTTTAAAACTTGATATTATGATGCTGCTTGCTGATTGTGCTGAGGTGGTTGGCGCATTCGTGCTGTACTGGTGGTGAGTACTCAATGGAGACGATGATACGCTCAAAGCTGCTACTGCTGGGCGGCGCTCCAAGACTTGCTACACCCTTGAATCTGCTTGATCCTTCATGCTTGGTTACACAAATGGCCGGAGCTTATTGATAATGATAAGAAGCTGCACACTTATTAGTACAGACCGAAAGGCACACGTCACTTAGTGCACTGTGTCGCAATAGGTCACTGAGTGGAAACATTTTTGTGTCGGTATCGGTCGTTAAAACCCGAATTTTAGGTCCCACTACGGAGCTCGAAGGACCATAAAGATGTACGGAACACATTTAAATGATATATTATATAAGAAAAATGATTTTATTTAAACTTAATAATGATATTAATACAAAATTCATACTGATATAGAACGCGTCCGCCGTATTCGGAATGAAAACGTGGCTGAATAAATCGCTTACTAACAAAAATGTACAGTTGCACTGGACACTGAAAATGTTGAATTGTTTCAATAACTAAGTACTTAATAGATTTTCTTACCTGAGAGTTATTAATATCCTTTCTTCAGCGCTGACGCATTTTCTCAAAGATGTATTTACTTTATGAATATTGGGAGTTAGCAACTTCATTACATTTAAGTAAACATTTTTTGACATTCTGTAATAAGTCTGAAACTTATTATCATAATTTTATGTAGTTTCCTGGTAGCGACGAATGCCCTACATTCAACATTTCTTTCAAAATATAGGTGTACCCAAAATCTTTTTCATCTATTTTTGTAATTAATATAAAGTAGAAGAACATCTTCATCACTACGGTTTAAGAAAGAATGAATGAATATAGTCGAAAATAGGTAGCGCCGTGTACGGAAACCGAATTGATACAGTAATATATCAGTAGGCGACCTATGGTTCTCATCTCAGTCGTATAGCTTGTGAATATCTCCATGGGAGAAAGGCCTAAGGCGACTTGAGTACTTGAGATATTATCGTCATTGACTGCCCGCTGACCCAGTGGGTTAATCTGTCGTTAAAATCTTCCATAAACTTTACAACGTAATGCTTAAGTAAGCTAGTATATTCTAAATTTATGTGCTTAAGCATATTGTGAAGAAGTATTTTAAATTAATTTCTTATTACTTGACACTGGCAAAAGTGTTACCGTAAGAGTCCATAACAAAAGAAGAAAAAGAGAAAATGCGAATATGCGATGGCAACATTTATTATTTTCTGTCAACATGTTGTGTTGTCTGTTGTAGAGGTCTGTTGTCGAGTATTGAGGCAACTTACGATGCATTATTTAGTCAAAACATTTTAAGATGTGTTATGAAAACAAGGAAAATTTTAGCATCTGAATTCAAATGGCGAATTTCAAAGTAAACACTTAAATAGGGAGTCGTAAAATTATTGCTAATTGTCTTGTAGGTGTATGTTAAAAATGTCGAAGAATGGCGAAGTATCGTCAAGTCAAGGTAAAACTTGAGCATATTTATAAACTTCACTATTTAGCCAACGCTTAATACACTAATAAGGCAATAGAAATATGTTTTACAGGACCAAGTCGACCAAACATGCCTAAACCAGATTTGAACTTGTTTACATCCGAAAAACGTAAAATGTTAGATCTACAGCTTGGTGGACCGTCTGGTGATGGTGCTGCTTTTATGCCGTTTTGTTCTAATACGTCAGGACAAAAAGCAAGGGCGCCAGCTCGAACAATCAGAGATGTACTGCCTGAAAATACCAGGTAAGTTTTGCTAAGTATTAGTGACAATTGGTGATATAATTCTGCTCAATGAATATAAATATTAAATTTTAAATCGCTTTTACAAATCGAGTAATTCTTGTCAATGAACGAAAATATTAAAATTGCTTTTACATTTTTTTTTTGTAATATTTGTTGGTCTTATAGGAAAATATAATATTCTATTATTAATTTTAGGGACAGATGTAGAATTTATCCAACTATGCAGTCCTCAGGCAAATTGCAGCTGTCTGCAACTGAGATATATGATTTCACTGCAGATGATTTACAAGATTTAGGTGAAATTGGTAGAGGTGCATTTGGGGCTGTTAATAAAATGGTCCACAGAAAGTAAGTTTGTTTGTAACATATTATTTACTTTGATTTGATAGAATGACCAAAAATTCTGATTAATGTATGACTTTATATAACTATACATAAGTAGATTATTTTTTACTTATGGGCTTCTTTTAGGCAGATTCAGGTGTTTGGAATCCTGATGTCAGTTACCCTGGGCTTTGGGTTTTTTTTATATTAATTTTTGGTCCAATCAAAAAAGAAAAGCTGAAAGTAGCCTGGGCTAACTACAATGTTAGAATGTCAGCCACCTTTGTATATGTGATCATTAATGCTGTTAAGCTTAGAATTTAAAAATAAGTTTAAAAGAAGGCAATTAAATCTGTGAAATTGGTTTTCACAGGTTTTATTTTATGTATGATTGTAATCACAAGCTCACATAAGTTTAAGAAATAATTATACTGTAAATCTATTCACAATTAAGCCCATGTTTAATTTAAAAATAAGCATTAAAAGCTTTTTGATAATAACATAAAAATGCTAATTGCAGAACCAACAAAGTGATGGCTGTAAAGCGTATACGATCTACAGTAGATGAAAAAGAGCAAAAACAATTGCTTATGGACCTTGAAGTAGTCATGAAAAGTAATGAATGTCCTTACATTGTTCAGTTCTATGGAGCTCTTTTCAAAGAGGTAAGTTATAATGAAACTAAAGTTACAGCCTATAGACTTGCCAGTACTGGGCACAGGCCTGTTTTCTGAGATAATTAGTAATGAAAGTACCTAGTCAGTAATAACAAAGACCAGAAACTAATGAATATTATTATCAGATTGTTGAAGATGATGAAAACATTTACAGGGTGATTGCTGGATTTGTATGGAGTTAATGGATACATCGTTAGACAAATTTTACAAGTTTATCTGTGAAAGGATGCAGACTCGAATACCTGAAAATATTATAGCTAAAATAACCCTTGCTACTGTCAAGGCTTTAAATTATTTAAAAGAAAAGTTAAAAATTATTCATCGGTAAGTATTATAGGTTATATTTGGTATTTTTAATGTGAAGATTGTGTTCCAGTTAATTAATGCAAGCATTTTTTGTTAAATAATATTCATTTTAACATTGTCCTCTCTTCCTCATGAGCCTAAATATAGTTCACATGATATTTAGACATCTAGTACCTTGGGCACTGCTTGCTGGACTAAGTTTGTGTAGTAAGATTACAGTGACTTTCCAAGCATAAAATCAGAGTTAGAAATATATCCAACTGCAGAGAGATGTAAGGCAGGGTGACTTTATCTCTGAAACTTCACTGCAAAATTGGAAGATGTTTTTAAGCTTTTAGACTGGAAAAGATCACTACTAACTACTACCATCAATGGTGAGTACATTACTCACCTCTAATTTGCCAACAATACACCTAGTTATTGTGGCATAACCTATGAAGGATCTTAGTACTATACTAGAAGACCTTAATAGTGTATCCCGTGAAAAGATTGTTTAACGTCCACGTCACACCTATGCTGATAATTTTTGGAAACAATGCTCAAAGTTGTTAATGAGTATGTTTACCTAAAAAAAGTTGTATGTCTAGTTAAGTGCAAGTTAGACAAAGAGGTCAAATGAACTAAATCGGCTAGGCAACCTTAGAGAGATTACAACACATAATTTTGTCACAAATTGTCCAAAACCTTAAAACAACAGCTTACAACCAGTGCATGTCACCAGTGATGATGTGATATGGAACTGAGATGTGTTCCTTTCCTGCTGTACCATATGAAGAAACTTAGTATCCCAGCAAGCGAAGATGAGGGCAATTTGGCTCAGAATTTCTCTGTGTGACAGATTAGGTAACAATGATATCTGCAGTAGAACCAGGTAACTAACATAGCCCAGAAAGTCAGTAAGCTTTAGTGGCAATAGGCTGGCTACAATATTTGAAGAACCGACAACTAATATAGAGAAAAGGTTCTCAAGTGGCAGCCTCATGCTGATAAGCAAAGTGCATGATGCAAGACATGCAGAAAATGTAAGACAAAATGAAAGAAGAAAGTGTAAAAGTGCAGAAAATTGATAGATGAAGATGGCACAGGACTGCATTTTGTAACATTCCTTGGCGGAGACCTATGTTGACCAGTGCACTAGTGACGAACTGTAATGATGATTTTTTTTTCTTTTAAAAAACGTTACCCCCACTAGGGTACTTTTCTCCTGTATTGTGGAGGCAGTTTACATACATATTGTACATGGACAAACATCCAGACCCCAGAACAATTACTTTTTGACCATACAAATACTTCTTCCTTGCGGGATTTGAACCCGTGGCTCACTGTGCCATAACTCATTTCTAAGCCACTGTGCCACAGAGCCGCCGATGATGCTGATGATTTACTGCCATTTTTTGGGGGCCACTAGATATTTTTATATAATACTAGCTCAAGAGGCAGACATTGTTCTGCCCTTTCCAACGACCCTTCCTATAAAAATCCTTAAATTCGCAATAAAAAATTTTGAGGATCATTTAGCGGGATAAAAACTATCCTATCTCTCAAGTTGGATCAAAATGCACAGTGTGCAAAATTTCATTGAAATCAGTTTAGGAGTCCATCGCGGACAAACAATGTGACACGTAATTTTTATATATAAAGATTAGAGAAACAAACAAGTTTACAGTCCACCTGATGGTAAGTGGTTACTCCAGCCAATTTTTGCATTGTTACTTTTATGACTTACTTATCCTTCAAACTGAAACTTCAAGTTCAAAGAAATGAATTGCATTGAACTGCCACACCAAGTGTTTTAATAGTGTACTATTAGCATAACATTTGTTCTTTACATACTTGTATTTACCTTTCTACTAGCTGTTCCCCGCGACTTCGCTCGCGTGTTAGGGTTTTTATGTTTTTGTGCGGAACCCTAATTATTTTTCTAAAATAAAAGTAGCCTAATTTACTCCTTATGAAATCAGCTATCTGCCAGTCACGTCAAAATCGGTCCAGCCGTTTCCGAGATTACCCGGAACAAACAGACAGACAAAAATTTTAAAAATTGTATTTAAGTTATAAGTACCGTATTTACTTCCATATGCATTTAGTAAAAAACTGTAATTTTTACATTACAAACAGACACTTCAATTTTATTTATTTGTAGTAAGTGGTATGTGGGTTACAAAATTTATATTTAGGTTTGCTTTATGATTTTGCTCTGTTGGTTATGACAGAATAAGTCTATGGTGTAAATGTTACTCTTAAACATTCTTTGCATTGCTATTGCATAAACGATGGTTACCCTGTAAAGATTTGACATTTTTGTGTGTTATATTTATATAACTAGCTGTGCCCGCGGCGTAGCTCGCGAATATAGGTTTTACTTAAAGAATTTGACGTTTAGGGTAAGAGAATATTAAACGATTTATATCATTACTGTATAGTAGAATAAGGGGTAACAAAATTAATCGATTTGCTCAAAGTTCTAAGTCGTTTATGATAGAGCTTCTGTGTAAACGACGATAGAAGTAGACTTAGCCGGGAGTACAGAAAAAGGTTACGGGGACTACTAACGCGGGAAAAAGCAACATAGAGTTGGCCATGTACAAAACAATCTGTACTGAGGTCCACTCCTGCAACGCGTAAAGTTTGACCTTGCGCTTTATTTACGATCGTCGCATAACACACGCTGAGTGGGAAACATACTTAAAATAGGGATGTTAGATGATCATCGATGTTAAAAATTAAAACTTCGATGTTTTAACATCGATGTTAACATATGTCAAACATCGAAACATCAACGTCAATGAACCCATAATCGATAATTGGGAACTTGCAAACAATGCGAACTCGCGAAATCAATATCAACTAAATCTTGCATCTGCTCTGAAGATTAAAAATTTTGAATAATTCAGAATTTCTGAACGCATCGTTAACCTAAAAAAATGTCAGTATGGTGAGTCAAACTTAATTGTCAAGTGTCTCCTGTAATGTCACAATGGTCACTGCTTTCGCTTTATTTTGTAGTGTCGTTGTCGGTTGTCGCATAATAACTATTCTACGTAAATTGATATTCAAGTTAATTGTTACTTTTCCCTTGCTGTGTATACCCACATAATTTTGAAACAATGTGTAAGTATCTACACATATACAAATACCATCGATAATGGTCAACATCGATGTTTTGAGTAGCCTAAACATCGAACATCGATGTTGAGCTATCGATGCCAACATCGATGTCATCATCGATGTTATTATCCCTATCTTAAAACTGAAGCCTGAGCCGTGGTAGCGATGGATAGCGCTCGCTGTAAGCTTCATAGTACTCGAGCAACCCGGGTTCGATCCCCGCCGGAACCAATGAAATTGTTAATAGCAATTTTAAGTGCTGATTTACCACGTGCTCGGCGGTGAAGGAAAACATCGTGAGGAAACCTGCATGTCTGAGAAATAAAAAAAAATATTTCGATGACATGTGAAGTTCGCCAAAACGTATTGGGGCAGCGCGGTGGACATTTCCTTGACCTAAAACCCTCTCAAAAATGAGAGGAGGCCTGTGCCCAGCAGTGGGACGTAAATAGGCTGCAACGTTACTTTACTTTAAACTGAAAGGAAAGTTATTTGATATTAGAGGGATTCTGGATATAAAACAATATCACTATCACGACATTTATTGCAATTTTGCTACTTTTAGTCGAGTTTTGTTGAATAAATGAATAATTGAATATTTCAATATCTCTTTTTTCTGGTTTTTGTTTTTGATGATTTTTGTGATGTGTTGTTAGCCTACACGGCTCTTACAGGCAGGCATAGAATACTGTATATATACCTTACAGGCTTGCAACTTCGTCAGACTCATGGACATATATTATTTCAGCGAGTCTCAATACGATTCACCTGCGAAAAATCTTAACACCGCAATTCAGAAAAGGTTGTAATTTGTACAACGCCATCTATTACGTTCTTTGTGAGAAAACATCCTTTTTTAATTTAAGGAAAACATATTTTTTACTGTGTTTTAAGTAATATAATAGAACGATACGAAATATATTATAATAGAACGTTTTTTTTTACACACGAATCTTTTTATTACTATTTCTGAGATTTTGTGGCGCCATTAAACAAATTCGAACCTACATTTCAAAATAATAATCATAACTTTCGATAGAATTAACCAATTTCAATAAAACAAAGATTAAATGAACTTGATAATACGCTTTATGATTTTCTTAACGATTTCATTGAAAAAAAAGATGTTTACTCAAAACGTCATGCGTCCATAAACAAACAGACAGACCGTCAGATAGTACAATTCTAAAAATTATAAAAATGTACTTTATTCACAAATTAATATACTATACAATATTCAGAAACAGACACAACATGTTATTACCATTTTTATTATATGTATAGACTTAAAGAGAGATGGCGCTGTTAACATCAATTCTAAAAATAAGAGATTAATTGACACGATTGATACAATAAAAAACATAAAAGAACTTATAAATGCCTGCATAGTAAGCAAAAAAGAAAGTTTGATCCTCGCCGAAAAACGAAATTGTTAATATCTCTTAATATTTGATTTACCACATAGAGTACTCGGCGGTAAAAAAATAAAAAATAAATGAAATTGTCAACACGCAGTAGGGCAGCGTGTCGTTAATATAAAGGTTAGAAGCAAATATGAAACTCATCTACAGGAAAAAAATTTAACCTGCCTTTTTGTATCACATTTGTGCCACACCACCATCTATCGATGAAATTGGTTAACTATTGTACTTTAATTTAGTTTAGATAATAAGGTTAATATATTTTGTATATATTTATTACGTTCTTTATGTAATACTTTTGTTTACTACGTTTTAGATATAATTATATCATTATAGAACATTATTTTACATCATTTAATTATGATTTATAATATGATATTAATTTTAAAATGTACTTGATGACTCATCCAACGCCACTATTGAACAAATTCGTACCTATACTTAGTACCCATACTTCAGAATATTTGTCATAACTTTTGATGGAATTAACCAATTTTAATGAAATAAAGACTAAATGTAACCTGAATATACACTTAATAATTTTCTTTAACTATTCTTATGATATAAATTAGTACTTTATACGTGATACGTTAACAAACAAACAGACAGACAGACAGACAGAAAAATCTAAAAATGGTAGAAATGTATTTAATTACTTATTTTTAGTACCTCTCAATCACTTTTATTACAAAAATATAAAATGTACAGACATCTGCTATTTACATTTTTATTATATGTATAGATTACTATGAGAGCCGTAATAGATACTGTGTTATTGGAGTTAATTTGCTTGATGAGAAAAATAACTTTAATAAATAAAATAAATAATAAAATAAAAATAAATATACAAAATAAAAATTTTGTACTGCCGACTTCAATATAAGTTATTAAGAATAACTCAAAAACTATTGGTCTGACCTTGATCAAATTCATATGGGACCACACGAGAAGTACCAGCTTTCAAATAAGAAAAGAATCATTGAAATCAGTTCACCCAGTAAAACGTTATGAGGTAACACACATAAAAAAAACATAGTCAAATTGAGTACCGTCTCCTTTTGGGAAGTCGGCAGAAAATTATAAAAACTATAACTCTTCTTTACTTAAAAAAGCTTGCAACTAAAATTTTGTAAAAGCTTTATACAGGGTTATTTTCCAAAGATTAAACTTACGTTCAATTGTATAAATAATGATATACCGTTATTCCAGTTTTTGAAAATATGAGTAAATAAGGCTTCTACTTTTATTTGAAATTATCCCTAATTGAATGTGATTTATGGGCAACAACGTTTTTGCCTACCGATCGACCCTAATGAATGTGTGCGTGCGCAATAAAATCAGTTAAAATTATGCATTACCACACATTTTGAATTTAAAAGATAAAAGGGACAGAATGTTTCAGATTTTTTTTAAATTAATTTACTACCACTAATTTACAATCTAGTCAATCTATCATCAGTGTTATAATACCCAGATTTGTCAAATACTGTATATATATTTTTTACAGGGATGTAAAACCATCTAACATACTGCTTGACCGAAGAGGAAACATAAAGTTATGTGATTTTGGTATCTCTGGTAAGCTTGTTGATTCAATTGCTCGAACACGTGATGCAGGCTGCAGACCATATATGGCAGTAAGTATTATTTGTCATTTTGTTTTCAGTGTTATTATTTTGTTATATATATATATATATGTTTGCGCATTAGGGTCCACATTCACTTAGAAGGTGCAGATATGTTTTCTTTTCTAGAAAATAAAATCTGCTCATCTTTAAATTTTTTAGTCTCAAAATAGACATGAGATTTTTCAACGGCATTGTCCAGTCAGGGATTTTATCGAAATGTGTAGTTTGTTCTTACTAAATCATTGGGCTTCTAAAGCAAATTGACAATCATACACCCAGATTATAGTTTTAGAATAATTAGACTGGTATTTTAAACCCGGCTTTATTGGGTCAGTCAGACTTGAGGATTCCACAAAATGGCTCTAGTTAGCAGCTTGTCACACAATCTAGTGAAGGACGATCCTATAGTATGCTTAGTGGTACAAGACTGCCTACTCTAGAATCTTTTTGCCTCGTCGGTTGTCGGTTCATCGAGCTATGTGCTTTGCTTATTCACTTCAGCTTACTTATCCATTAGACTATGTCAGTTACTCTGGTTTTACTGCGCGTATCATTGTTACGGATTCTATTAAGCATTTTATACATGGTCCATTTGCTGTTTACTTACAAACAATTTAATAATAATTATAGGTATATGTCAAGCCTATTCATTGTTTTTTTTTAATTTATTTTATCATATTGTTTTTAATTTACATTGTGCATGACCTTGGCGGAACGTACAACAACATGGGCCGTGTGTAAAGCGCTTAACGCAAAGATACTCTACACATAATTACCCTCTCCATAGGTTGTTAAGCAATTTTAAGCTTCCTCACACGGCCAGCAGGGTAAATCCACGTCTTAGATCCATGTCATCAGTTGCAACACGCACTGGTTGTACACTCGTTTTCAAGTTTCGAAGTATATGTGATGAGAAGGTGTATCTTAATCATTTGAACGCTTCGCAGGCCTGTTGGGTCCATCATTTGACCTCTCGGTCAAAGGAGGGCTCCCCTAGTCATTCAAATTGTCCGAGTGAACATACCCGTCAACAAGTTCGAGCGTAGTGCTCCTTACAATTGCCGGCAAAAGTGATATGACGTGGATATTTTCTTTGTCCATGTCCATTTTAAGGCATCGTCATCATCATCACCATCACAGCCGTTACAAGTCCACTGCAGAACGTAGGTCTTCCCCCAAGGAGTGCCACAATGCACAGTCCTGAGCCACCTGCATCCATCGACTTCATGCATATCTTACCAGGTCTTCACTTCATTTATTAGAGGGTCGCTCCCTTTTTTTTTAAATGGGGAAATGCCTACGCATACCCGCCTCGCGGGGGCAAGGACGGGTTATATCGGACTCGCACCGACTAAAACCCTATGGTGTTCTACCTTCGTCGCATATTGGCAGGGCCACGGGAACGCTTTCGCACACATCCGCGGCCCCACCTGCGCTGGACGCATCATGGCGACCTCTCCTCGGGAGAGAACTACTCCTCCCCCATTTCCTTCTTAGGTAAGGCGCACCAGAACACATGGCGCGCCCTCCTCCTCGGCCTCCAAATTCAAATGCACAACAGACGCCCCCGTGTCCGATGCGCGAAGGCCATGGGGCCAGGAAAACTAGCACTCAGAAGCACCAGCTTTCCTGACCCCTGCGGCGGATCTGGTCTATGGCTCCGCCGCCAACCAAGATTCGGCTGCGGAGGGTAGGGAGTGCGACGCCTCGCAATACCGACACTCTTCTCCCCCCGCAGCCCCACTACCACCGCATCAAGGGTGCGGCCCCGTTTGAGTCGCGGAGGATAGGGTGAGTGGCGCATCGCCATTCCAACACTCTTCTTCCTCCGCGACTCCACCTCGGCTGCAGCGGTAGACGGAGGGGGGCCCAAGGTGGCCACTCCGAGTGGGCTTGGCGAGCCCATAGACATCCACATCTATCCTCTAATACAAATCAAAATGTAGATGCGTTGTCACCCGTGAGGACTAAGATGGAATGCCTCATTTCCAGTAAAAAGGGCCTCCGGCCACCTGCACTCACCAAGCGAAACGCAGAGGTAAACCTCTACTACACCTCTACTCTACTTCACGCTGGTTTTCTGTGAGGTCGTGGTACCACCCCGGTTCGAGCCGGCCCATCCGTGCGACAGCAAAAGCTGCCGCGTGGCTCTACCACTGTTAAAGCTTGCTAATCCATTGGGCTATGTCAGTCACTCTGGTTCTACTGCGGATATTCTCATTACTAAGTTTATCGCGACCTTGAGCTTCCTCATACGACCAGCAGTGAAGGACCACGTCTCAGATCTATGGTCATCACTGGTAACACGCATTGGTTGTACAATCTAGTTTTGAGGTTTTGAGGTATATCTGACGAGATGTGCCGTAATCTCCCGAACGCTGCCCAGCCAAGTTGAAGCCGTTGATTGACCTCTCAGTCGAAGTTGGACTTACCTAGTCGGGACTAATTGTTCTAGGTAAACATATTCGTCAACAACTTTGAGCGTAGTGCACCCAACTTTTGACGTGGTAGAGCAACGCTGCAGCTGTATAGATATAGATAGCTATATAGATCTTCTCGTCAGTCTTCAGGGTGCGTGTGTTGAACGTTGCCTCGAGTTGTCTATTATGGCAACGAACCTCCACCGGAGATTCTTAGTATCCCTTGCCCCGCCGTTATCATGGTCGCCACCATAGCCGTGCTTAACAAGGCCGCTGGGGTCTAAGAGTTGTTTCTTTACGTCATTGGCACGCTTGGCAGGCAGGTTGGCCACCGCGGTATTTTTTCCTAGTTATTACTAGAAAGACGCTGCTGCCCATCTCCTGGTTTGTTTCCTTCTGTCGCCTCTTACGATATCCACAGATGTATGGGTTAGTGGATATTCTTACACCACCACTACACGACAGGCTCTCTTTTTTTTACTATAAATCTTACTTCATCAATGACTTTTCATATACATTTAAAATTCAATAAAAAATCATTTGCTAACAAATGAAGTTCTTTATAATGTTAACCTAGAATGTTTCTTTGTATTTTCGTAAATTCCAAAGTTCATATTATAAAAAAATATTTAAGTATTTAAGTAGTAATTAAGGTATATATTTTTTTTTATTAACCTAGTGTGTTTCTATTTTGTGAATGACAATTTTGTTCTTTTTTTTTCTAAATGTTAATATTTGATTGCAGCCAGAACGAATTGACCCAGGTCGCGCAAGAGGTTATGATGTACGTTCAGATGTTTGGTCTCTCGGGATTACATTAATGGAAGTGGCGACGGGTGCATTTCCATATCCTCGCTGGGGTTCGGTATTTGAACAATTGCAACAAGTTGTGCAGGGCGACCCGCCACGTCTTACAAACAAAAACAACGCGTTTTCCAATAACTTTGTCCATTTTGTCAATACTTGGTAAGTAATATTTTGTAAAGTATACCATAATTAAATTTCAGCAGCCATTTCCTATAATAAATTTACAACATGTAATAGAAATCTAGCATATAAATAGCTATGCTATAGCTATGTAAAAAAAAAACTAGCAATAAAGCTTCCCTGCGCTACTCGATCGCTTCACTTTAATAGAAGTTGGTTCATTTTGAAACAGCTAAATCGTTGATCCAAGATTCATCACCTGTAACATTTAATGTCGTCAACACGCCGTAACGAGCCTTCTCGTCACAGCATTTCCACACAGGCCTGCTTCTAAGCATCGGTGGGGTTGTGCGACATCTAACGCGAAACTATACTCCTTAAGCTGGTGCCGGACTTAGCTTCAACAACAAAGTCGTCATTTGGGCACACAAAATATAGCAAATGTCTTGAAAATGTCTGTTTTTCAAGCGAAAGAAAAGAGAGTCAAAAACTTGAAATTGATTGAACAACAAATTGATTGAACATTCAACTTCATCAATAGTATACGAATCTCGTACGGTTACACGCCAGTGTCGTCAAAACGAAAAATTTCTTCACAATTTAAAAATTTCTTCACAATATGCTAAGACGTCACATTTGGAAGCCTCTGGGAAACTGAAGACGGCTTAACCCAGTGGACATCCATGACGACTGTATCTCAAGTTCTTAAGGCGCCCAAGCGAACACCAGTTTACCAAGGTTTATATCAACAGACCACTTGTCTTGTCGTTCCCACCAACGGTTCATATGCGAAGACACATCATCAAACTTCACTTCAAATCATTATATAAACAATAATACAGGAGGCAACAATCCGCCGCGAACAAGTTCCCTACAAATCTCTTATGTCTACTTGTAAATCTTATTTTCAAAGCAAACTATAACTCATCACTGTCACGAAAAAAAATTTTTTTCTTTATACATTCTGTGTGTCATGTCGTAGAAAAACATTTAATATTATATTTTGCTTTTTATATTATATTTAAAAAAACAGTGACGCATGAATTAAATAAAAATAGTAGGCAGAAGGTAATACTCAACAATAGTGTTAATTTATTTGAAACATTTTCTAGTAGAAGTACAATTTCCTCTGCAATGTTTTTGTTTATCGCAGAGCTTTTACAGGGAATTAGCACGTAAAACTGCAATTCTGTTCTATAAGCTATCCACTGTGAGAGTTAAGTGAAGAAATATTTGAAAGCAGAACAAACTATGGGGGATTTAGTGAATGAATACACAAAATCTGTCGTAGATTTTAGGCATAAACAATGAATTGTTTCATATGCAAAATATGGATAATTCTGGAAATCCCTTTTTTTGAAAATGTGTCTATGAAAAGTATGTGGTAAAGTTCTCGCGTCCAAAATGGTGTAGAGATGGACAGGGGGTTCGCTAAGTCATTGTAAAATAATAATTATTATTGTAACTTTACAGTCTCATAAAAGAAGAAACTCAACGGCCGAAGTATAACAGGTTACTGGAACATCCATTTATCAAAGGCATTGACCAAAGTCGTGCAGATGTAGCTGCTTATGTATGCGAAGTACTTGATTCAATGGAGCGGAATGGCGTTAGTCCCTTCACAACTGATCAGCCAGCTCAAGCCTGGGTTGATTAAATATCAATCCAAATAGTCATCGGGTAGCTAGAATGTTTCTAGGACTAGCTTGAATCTAGTTTGATTACCCAAGCAATGTGTAATAGAACTTACATATTATTACACATTTATAAATTAGTTAAAAATAAAGAAACCTTAGACTGTTTAGTAGTCTACTGTTTCTTCCTTAGCTTTGGCCATATAAACAGTATTGTGGAGAATTATGTGCAAATTCACCTCAACTTCACTTGGTATTATGCACTTGAAATTTCATTATTTTAGATTCCATAAAGTTTATTATGTAATTCTCATTCTTCAAAATTGGTTTCAATTTCACATGTATTTTACTCTTTGAAATGATGTAGTATATATGCTAGGGCAAGTAGGAAAATTTTGTAATCTCTTCTGAAATCTTTATGCACTTACAGAGATAATTTTGTATTAGTAGGTTACAAATTTGTAATATTTTCTTTGCGAGTTCTCTTAGGTTCCCATTAATTAAGTCTCTTTTTCCCCGTCCTATCCTGACCTCATCTTAATTAGCTGCTGGCAGCGCAATATCTCCAATAACAAACTATATCTTGTCTGTTTTTTCATCTTAGAATTCATAAGCTATGTAATAAATATCTTGTTGCTAATTTAAAAGGGAGATGAACTTACTTTTTTAATATTAAACTATCATTTGTCACCTTGAAATCTAGACATATTTTTGTGAAAATAAATAAAATGAGATTATCTTTTTATTACTTAAAAAGGCAATGGGAGCCTAGCCTTGTAACTTAAAAGTTTTGCAATTGTAAATTAAAATCTTTGAATATTTACGCGGATTGCTTATTAATTTACTTTGGCTGACTGAGATACACAAATTAAGGCCACTTAGGCCTTATGTATAGGTGTAATTTTGTAATAAATTTGTATATACAGATGGATAATAATTATTGATAAGTAAAAATAATTTTGAAAGCGACCATTTAATATGGCAGCAGTACACCTTAAGTATTCAACACAAATAAAACACATACGTGATTTTCATTGTATTTAATCAAAATTTGTTTAAAATTGGTTCACAACAATACTGTAATATTTAAGGAATAGAATGACATGAGTAATATATTACAGATGTTTTCTTAAAAGCCATTTTAAACCCAAAATAATTATTTTATTGGGTGACAAACAAGCACAGACTACCTGATGGTAAGTGGATGCTGTGGCGGCCCATAGACATAGACATCTATAGTCAATTTGGAAACAAAATGCAGTTGCGTTGCCATTGTCACCGATAAAGTATAAGATACATCACCTTGTTACTAGTCTTCATATTCTTTCTAATTATCTATAATTTTATGTCAGTTTTCATTCTAAAACTTGACCTATTTTTTGGGCATTTAGAACATTACCAAATTTAATAATAAGTTTATATTTAGTACCATCAGTCAGTTTTGGAGTGAGATAAATTGCATCACTTACTTTTGGAGACATTTCTAGTAATGGTATCCAATCATTGGCATCAATTATTTTATCCCTTCTTTTTCCCCAAAAATCTACTGAAGAAATTTTAATCAGTTTATTATCATCACTTATGTACAAAAAACCTATGATGTTACGAAGTGGAATACTTGCCAGTGAAAGTACTGCAGCCCCAGTAATACCTGTGAACAGAACATACTTGTTTAACAAAAAAGCGTAGCAAGCCATCAACCGACATTTTTAATCTATACATATATCTATAATAATAAATCTGTAGAAAAGTCGTGTCTGTAATTCTAATATATTCTTGAAAAAACAAGTCCAGGGGAACAAGTCAAGTGGTAGAGCCACGCGGCAACTTTTGCTAACAGTGGTAGAGCCACGCGGCAACTTTTGCTGTCGCACAGATGGGCCGGCTCGAACCGGGGTGGTACCACGACCTCACAGAATACCAGCGTGAAGTAGAGGTTTACCTTTGTGTTTCGCTTGGTGAGTGCAGGTGGCCGGAGGCCCTTTTTACTGGAAATGAGGCATTCCATCTTAGTCCTCACGGGTGGCAACGCATATGCATTTTGATTCGCAAACGAGGATAAATGTAGATGTCTATGGGCCGCAGCAACCACTTACCATCAGGCGGAGTGTGTGCTCGTTTGTCAACCTTATCTTATAAAAAAAAAAAAAAAAAACTAAATAAAGGGTTCTGAATCCAAATTAGGGGTTTTTAGAATTTTTGTCTGTCGGTGTATTCCGGATTCACGCAAAAACTACTGAACCGTTTTATATGAAATTTTGTATGTAGGTAGTGAGTAACCCGGGGCAACTTATAGGCTACTTTTTATTCGATTACGGAACTTCAAAAAGGAAGGTTAAGTAATTATTTCCCTTCTGAGCCGCGTCCACGTGCTGTTTTCGAGAGTCATTACGAACCGTCTCGCGCGCAGACTTGACGACTTCCAGCCTCCCGAACAAGCCGGTTTCCGAAAAGGCTTTAGCACCATAGACCACATACATACCCTTCGGCAAATTGTACAGAAGTCCGAGGAGTACAATTTGCCACTATGTCTGGCGTATGCGGACTATGAGAAAGCCTTTGATTCCGTCGAAATTTGGGCGGTGCTGCAGTTCCTTCAGCGATGCCAAGTTGACTGTCGGTATATCGAAGTGTTGAAGTGCTTGTACAGAGTAGGGCTACGATGGCTATCCGAGTACAGAACCAGAGTACGAAACCTATCCAATTGCAGAGGTGTAAGACAGGGTGACGTCATATCCCCAAAACTCTTCACCACTGCATTGGAAGACGTTTTCAAGCTTCCGGACTGGAAAGGATACGGTATCAACATCAATGTACATCACTCACCTTCGATTTGCCGACGATATAGTCCTTATGGCAGAATCGCTGGAGGACCTAAGCACTATGCTCAATGACCTCAATAGTGTTTACCAACGGATAGGTCTTAAGATGAACATGGACAAAACAAAGATCATGTTTAATATCCATGTCACACCTATGCCGGTAGTTGTTGGGAGCACTAAGCTCGAAGTTGTTGACAAGTATGTTTACCTGGGACAAATAGTCCGACTAGGTAAGTCCAACTTCGACCAAGAGGTCAATCGACGGATTCAACTCGGTTGGGCAGCGTTCGGGAAATTACGGCACATCTTCTCGTCAGGTATACCTCAAAACTTGAAAACGAGATTGTACAACCAGTGCGTGTTGCCAGTGATGACATATAGAACTGAGACGTGGTCCTTCACTGCTGGCCGTATAAGGAAGCTCAAGGTCGCTCAGCGAGCTATGGAGAGGGCTATGCTCGGAGTTTCTCTGCGTGATAAACTTAGAAATGAGGATATCCGCAGTAGAACCAGAGTGACCGACATAGCCCAACGGATTAGTAAGCTAAAGTGGCAATGGGCCGGCCATATAGCTCGAAGAACCGACAACCGATGGGGAAAAAAGGTTCTCGAGTGGCAGCCTCGTACCGGCAGGCGAAGTGTAGGCCGTCCCCCCACTAGATGGAGTGACGACCTGGTAAGATATGCAGGAAGTCGATGGATGCAGAAGGCTCAGGACCGTGCTTTGTGGCACTCCTTGGGGGAGGCCAATGTTCAGCAGTGGACTTGTGAAGGGATATAATGATGATGATGATGATATTACATTACAATAGTTTTGTACATGCTGGCTGGCTCAAAAGTTTTTAATAAACTTAAAATTGAAGTAATATTAGAAAATAATATTTGTTTTATTTCTACAAGTCTCGTTACTAAAACGGGTACGTGTTTAGAATTTGGAAAAAAAAATAAAACAAATCTGTTCTTTAATCATAATCTTCAAAACTGATTTTGATATTGGTTGTTATAGTATCTTAATATATTATTTTGAAGCACATTTATCAGAAGGCTATTTTGATTAACTTACATAAAAAGTTTAATTTCACTACAATATGATCCAACACAATTTAAATCCATCTCAGCTGTGTGGGTATTCATTTAATTGAAGGCAGAAATATTATATGTTATTTTGTTTATATATTTGTAATTGTAAGGACTATATTAGAAGTAAAAAGTATTAGGTCGATTGTAACAATTTGACGGGTATGCCTTTTATAACGTAATAATTTTGATAGAAATCATATTTTCTTATTTAATGTTACGCATAGTACATTGATACTATGTTACATATTTTTATTGCATTTTTTCGTGAGCTAATAACGATATATAATACGAAAACGTAGTTCTCAGTAACGGAGTACAAACAATTTAGTTTTACTTAGTAATTGTATATAAAAGAATGTAACAAAGTTTCTTATAAATCAATTGAGTTGATTGTACATTTCTATAGCCAAGTCTATGCAGGAAGTCGATGGATGCAGAGAGCTCAGGACCATGCTTTGTGGCATTCCTTGGGGGAGGCCTATGTTCAGCAGTGGACTTGTGAACGGCTGCAATGATAATGATGATGATAGCCAAGGACTGCCATATAATTTGGCACCCACTCGGACCTCAACTGTTTTATCCACATGGCAACCCCTACGGGGCCATTCATTAATTACGTAAGGATGCTTTCGGTAGATAAGGGTATGTAGAGATTTTTATAACCGCCCTCCCCCCTCGGGACCTTTACATAATTAATGAATGACCTCTAACATCGCTTGTCCTCAACTTGGCTCCCTTTTCACATTTATATTTTTGGTGGGATATCGTTAACTTTTGCAAAATGTTATTATTACAGCTAATATTTTACTAAGTCGTTGAACTCCTTAATGCCTAGGAATCTGTCTGGGTAGGTACTACCCCTTTTGCTTATTTCTGCCACCAAATTTCACCATGACCACTCAGAAGAGTATAGAGACATCATAGCAATCAGAGGTGACAATGTCTATTGACGTGATTAGCCACCTACTTCCATTTATTATATAAAAAAAAATTACTTAATACTTGAAACTAACCCGAACAACAACTTTATCGCCACCAAATATCACTAATTCAAGTTTTCTAATTGTTTCCTTTTTATTTGCCAAATGATCTACCTTGTTGGAAAATTATATTTGTTAGAAGTAGTCGCACTTTTCTGACATTAATAACTAAGAACTAATAAGTTTATTCATGAAGTGTGAGATTCTAGGAAAACAAGGAGACCTTATTAATCTTTCAAAATTACAAGTGTGTAGATCTAATATTTTTTGAGCAATGGAGGAGTGGAAAGTACATAGTTTGGAATGGTATATGTAAATGATATCCACTCTGCCAGTGTGATTCTCTTTTCCTTCCGAAACTTGGCTGACACACTGCTAAGTATGTACATGTGATCTAGACAAACAGTAGTGCTTATATCTAAGATCCAATTGGTTCACCTATTCAGTCTTAATTAAATTTTCCATTGTTTCTTTCAGTGTTATAGTATTCCCCTAGCATGACGTAGCAGCCCGTTGAACGTAGTTACTATGATATCTAAGTTTTGAAAATAATAATGTCTTGAAACATTTAACACTTAATGGTGGAAAACATTTAACATAATAGATAGGACCACTTGGGTAGTCTTTTACCTGACCCCACTGGTCACTTACTGGATTTGAGTTGTCACTCTCTGATCAGCAGACAGAACAGTGATTGCATTACTAGATGGTGTACTTTGATGATGTTTCCCTGTTGGTTTGGGTATCTCCACCTATGGAGGTGTACAAGTATGGGTCAAGCATAAATTGTTAGTTGTGATGCATATTATAAAGTTTGAGTTATGTGCAATAAATAAATAAAAACTGTTCTAACTTAACAACTTCCTTGTCTGCAAAAAAGACAATAGTTAAACAATTGAAATTTTCATATATGACTTGTGGGACAGTGTAATGGTTATAATTCATGCAACCAAAAGGTTAACTTAAAATTTGCTCAGGTTTTTAAATAATAAAAATCAAAAGCCTTAATGAAAATATTTTTTGTTTAATCCTTAGGCTCTAGCATCGTCTATCATGGGTAACATCTATCAAGTCGTGTACTGTGATGGTGGAACTGGCAATTTAGGAATTTGTAAGTATGAAGCATGTGGCGATGACCAAGTGAAAACCATGTGGTAGAGCCATGCTGCAGCTATATTAATTGTATACTTGTATCACGAATGGGTCGGCTCGACCAGGGAAGGATCACGCTCTCACAGAATACCAGTGTAAAATAGTGGCTTAATGCTGCTGTGTTCCATATGGTGAGTGTAGAGAACCAGAGACCCTTTTTTTACTGGAAAAGAGGCATTCCATCTTAGTCCTCACGGGTGACAATGCATCTGCATTTTGATTCGCATACGAGAATAGATGTAGATGTCTATGGGCCACAGCAACCACTTACCATCAGGTGGACTGTATGCTCGCTTGTCATCCTTATGCTATAAAAAAAAAGTGTTTGAGGAGGCTGGTCTACTCAGGGTTGCTATGTACACTTCAAACATTTTAGTTTTTCTATCTTAGAACATGCTTCAATTACCTAAGGTATCATTGATGTAAATTGTTAATAGGTCTATATTTTTAAATTCTTGGTCAGAGGAACCAAATTCCAAAACGATAGAAGCTCGAAGATACTAAATTAATTGATTTAACTTACTTACCTATATATGATGCTGTTAAAAAAGTATTACTTGGTATAACATTTAGCAATTCAAGTACACCACAAGTTGGGATGGTGACACCCGATCCAAAAAGATGATAAACTTTTAGTCTATTAATTAATGCTATGTATTTGATTTGAGGTAAGGTATAAACAGTTTCGAAGGTACTTTTTGAGGCATGATGGTTCAATATAGATATGTTCCTTGAAATACGACTAAAAACTCCCGTTTTAATCATATTAAAATTCGACTCAGACAGATCATATAACAATTAAATAGGTTAGGTTACTTTTGTTTTTCAAAATCAGCTGTTTTTGACAACCATCTTTTTTTAAATTTATTATGGCATTAGCTATAAGGCCATTAGCCAAAATTAATACATCACACAGCCTTTTTTTAAAGCAACGCAACGCTTAGAGATTATCACGACCAGATCGCAGAATAAATAATAGTACTACGTACAGAAGTAGCACTTCTTTGATATCGATTGTTTGCCGACGTTTTAATAGCCTATATGATTATAATTAATTAAATCACGCACGCAAGCCGAATTAAACTACATCTCTGCGCACCAGTGTCCGTACTCCGTATGGCTTTGCATCTTTACCCCTTCCTATGTTATGGACGATATTTTGTGGTTCCCAGGGCTTTCAAGAAATAGTAAAAAGTGCAATACGTATATAGTACCTTTTGATAATTTATTTAATTTACAACTGTTTTACTTTCATATAATGTCTTATATTTTTTACCGTCTCTAAAATTTACCGGTTATAAAATTTTAGTGGAAAAAGCTCTTAATCTGACGTATAATTATCGTAAGTAAATACTTTGAGGGAAAACATTGACACGGAGTGATAAAATTATTATTCGGTAATAATTTTAGTAAATTATTTCTTGGTTTTTCATTATTATGTTTTCAAAATTGTTAATGAAATTATTTTCAATAATAAACACATAAGAATACTTATAAATTGCTCTAAAACTTATTCAACTATTTTATGCTATGATTAAATATTATATAATAAACACTTATATAATAAATACTTTATACAAGTGAATAAAAAAAATCTATTTACGTAAACAGTGTTAAAAAAAAACTTTGAAATTCTCTAATACGTCGCTCGCCTTAAACGCACTAGCCCTGACTGCGTATGTAACCTGAGGTCCTGAGGTTCCGCGCGATTATAGGTATTTATATCATACAGCAAGAATGACAGAGGCCTGATGACTTAGTTTGCTTACTCTCTAGTTAGAGTAACGGCGGCTCAAAAGCGTCGATAAAAATATCAGATAACTGTTAAAGTGCGCGCAAGATAACTCTGCGCGCGGCCTAAATTGGAAATAATCGTGTGCTGCCATCTTAATGTTTATGGCAGGTGTCAAAACAGAGTGTTGTCGTGTTTTTATTCGTTTTTGCAGTAAATAGGTAATCGTCATCATTATGGCGAAAATTATTAAAATTGCTGGCAGGAATATTACATCGAAGGTCAAATGTGCTTGTGAAGAAGACCGAGACAATAACGGGCTTACAGTACCGTTTTCCAAAGTAAGAGCTAACATTTCATAATTCACAGGTAATTTTTAGGGCTGCCATAACAAATAAAACTCCCTAATTTTCTCGATTTGCTCATTTTTAGTTTCTTCGTGTCATTAATATCATTTATTTATAATGCATTGTTTTTGTTATGTTTTAGTTTTAGCTTCAACGAAAATTAATTAATTTATTATTTAATATCACAGGCAACACATCAGAGTCTTCTGATGAAGATTCTAGTATGGATTCTGATGAAAATGTGCGAAAAAAGAGGAAGGCGTTGACCCACTGCAGGACCATTGTTTCACCAAATTAACAAATAAATCTAGGTATTCAATAAAAGATTTACCAGGTTTCCATGGACTTTTAATTTCGTTCTTTCTAATAAATATTTATAAAATACCACTTCTAGACAAAATATCACTGTTCATTAATCATAATAATAGTCATTGCTACCACGCATATAATACTTACCTATAATCATGTAAAAAAAATTGGAAGTTAAATTTTACCATTTTTTAGGTTTTCGATGGAGCGGAAATTTTGAATATTCGTTAAGTTTAGATGAAAATAATTGACGTCATTCTAAATCCAATATAGCGGATTCCCAAAGATGGAGAACTAGTTATTTTTTGTGCATTCCCGTGATATGGGTTTCAAATAAAAGGGTTTGCAGAGAAGAATACCAAAAATAAAAGTGAAGCGTGTTTTTTTTTAGTTATTTTTTCTCAAACTCGCTCGCATTAATAAAACGATTTTAAATGTTTTTAAGGAATAATTTTTATTAACTTAAACCTTACCATAGAAACTTGTGAAGTATAGTGTCAAACTTACGGAAGTTACAATCAAGAAATATATTTATTATGCGAATTTTAAACAATAAATATAGTTTTTATTAGGTCTTTTATAAATTTAAGCTGACTAAGCTTTGGTAATCAATTCGGTCATTTATGTAATTCGAAATAGTTATATAATTCTAGTAATAGGATTAAATGAAGGAAAAAAATATTAGTTAAACTGGTAACATTAAGTACGCCATTAGTCGCGCGCAGAATTATCTTGCGCCTCTAAACCGCTCCCCGCTCCTTATCCTTATTTCTTAGTGTCAATTGTAACGCCGAGATATACAAACGCACGGCAAATTTTTTGGCGTTATATTATTTTGGTGAAAATGACAAGATGCGCGATCAAAATCTGAAGAAATTACAAAGGACGTTTACAAACAACTAAAAAAATCTACCATCGGTAAATAACTCAAAACTAATAGTAGGTAATTTACGAAAACAAAACTAATAAATTGATAATTTTTTTCATAAAATCAATGCGTCGTTTTTTGGTGTTGCCAGTCTTGGATTGCGAATTTCCCCGTATAGTTGCCTTATAAGTTGATGTATGTTCATTTTTACCGAACTGCACCATAAGGAGGAAATACATTAAGGAAGGTGTGTGTGTGTGTGTGTATGTGTATGTGGGTATGTGTTTAAATTTGTATTTTTCTTATAAAAGCCGTATATGCTTTCATATTGCCGTGTAGTGGCGATTAAGAATATCCACTACCCCATATCTTCCCGTGGGTGTAGTAAAAGGCGACAAAGGGAAACAGGCAGGAGATGGGCAGCAGCATCTTCCTGATAACAGCAAAAGTACAATAAAAAAACTGCGGTTGCCAACCCGCTCGCCAAGCGTGGCAACTATGGCAAATACCCCCCTAGGATGAGAGTAACAAAGACACAAGACCTATCCGTTGGGGAACACTATTGAGGTTATTGAGCATAGTGCTTAGGTCCTCCAGCAATTCTGCCTTAAGGACTATATTGTCGGCAAATCGAAGGTAAGTGATGTACTCGCCATTGATGTTAATACCGTATCCTTTCCAGTCCAGTAGCTTGAAAACATCTTCCAATGCAGCGGTGAAGAGTTTCGGGGATATAACGTCACCCTGTCTTACACCTCTCTGCAGTTGGATAGGTTTCGTACTCTGATTCTGTACTCGAATAGCCATCGTAGCTCTACTGTACAAACACTTCAGCACTTCGATATACCGACAGTCAACTTGGCACCGCTGAAGGGACTGCAGAACCGCCCAAATTTCGACGCAATCAAAGTCTTTCTCATAGTCCACATATGCAAGGCAAAGTGGCAGATTATACTCCTTTGTCTTTTGTATAATTTGCCGAAGGATGTGTATGTGGTCTATGGTAATAAAGCCTTTTCGGAAACCGGCTTATTCAGGAGGCTGGAAGTCGTCAAGTCTGCGTGCGAGACGATTCGTAATGACTCTCGAAAACAGCACGTAGACGCGGCTTACAAGGGAAATCGGTCTGTAGTTCTTCAAGAGAGCGTTGTCGCCTTTCTTGAAGAACAAGGCCACCGCACCTTTGCTCAACGACTCCGGAGTAGTGCCACCATGGAGGACGGAATTAAGGAGCTTCTGAAGGACTTCAAGTTTTGGTTTTCCACCCGCTTTCAAAAGCTGCGCTGTAATTCCATCCTCGCCCGGGGACTTTCCGTTTTTAAGGTGCTGGAGAGCCATTCTAATCTCGCCCAGACTGACGTCCGGGATATCTTCGGAATAGTGTCGCATAAGACTCGCTCTTGGATCGTTACTCACACGTGCGTGTGGCTCCAACGATGACGTGTACAGCTGCCCATAGAACCTCTCAATCTCACTCAAAATCTCAGGTGTCCCAGAAACGATGCTGCCACACTCGGTCTTCAGCTTTGACAGTTGGCTCTTTCTGGAAGACAGATCTCGTGCAAAGACTTTGGAACCTTGGTTCCCCTCGATCGCTTCTTCAATACAAGCTGTATTGAAGTTGCGTAAGTCCCGCCGCATGTATTTGGAGATCTGTCTATTCAGTTGCCTGTGTGCTGTCAAATCTGTTGAAGAATGTAGCTTCATCTCCCGTCTAACAGCCATGAGATTAAGAGAGCGATTGGAGAGTTTTTGTGTTCTTCTGCGGCGGGTCTTGCAAAACTTAGCTCCGACCGCATGGGCAGTTTCCACGAGCTTGTCATTTATATCGTCCACTTCATTGCAGTCTTCTAGGCACTGAAAACTCGACTGACTCTTGAAATCAGCACGTAGACGTGGCTCAGAAGGGAAATCGGTCTGTAGTTCGTCAAGAGAGCGTTGTCGCCTTTCTTGAAGAACAAGACCACCGCACCTCTGCTCCACGCCTCCAGAGTAGTGCCACCATGGAGGACGGAATTAAAGAGCTTCTGAAGGACTTCAAGTTTTGGTTTTTCACCCGCTTTCAAAAGCTCCGCTGTAATTCCATCCTCGCCCAGGGACTTTCCGTTTTGAAGGTGCTAGAGAGCCATTCTAACCTCGCCTAGACTGACGTCCGGGATATCTTCGGAATAGTGTCGGATAAGACTCGCTCTTGGATCGTTACTTACACTTGCGTGTGGCTCGAACGTTGACGTGTACAGCTGCCTATAGAACCTCTCAATCTCACTCAAAATCTTAGGTGTCCCGGAAACTATGCTGCCACACTCGGTCTTCAGCTTTGACAGTTGGCTCTTTCTGGCAGACAGATCTCGTGCTAAGACTTTGGAGCCTTGGTTTCGCTCGATCGCTTCTTCAATACAAGCTGTATTGAAGTTGCGTAAATCCCGCCGCATGCAATTGGAGATCTGTCTATTCAGTTGCCTGTATGCTGTCAAATCTGTTGAATAATGTAGCTTCATCTCCCGTCTAACAGCCATGAGATTAAGAGAGCGATCGGAGAGTTTTTGTGTTCGTCTGCGGCGGGTCTTGCAGAACTTAGCTCCGACCGCATGGACAGTTTCCACGAGCTTGTCATTCATATCGTCCACTTCATTGCAGTCTTCTAGGCACTGAAAACGGTTTTGTAACTCGAACTGAAAGGTTTCGGGACTTTGGAACAGAGCACGAGGCAAATACTCACAATGGCCTATATTCTACGATCTTTACGTAGAGAGTATCCATAACAACAACCTGCTCACAAAAAGCCAGAAAATGCAGTATATATATAATTATGTATGTGTGTATTTATCTTATCTATGTACTTATATACCATTATGCGTTTCTATTTTATGGCTTTAATAAAAATAATGTTATTTTTGTCGCCAAACCACACACGTTTTTATTGTTTTCTTGCAATCCTGTCCATCCAAAGGTCGTCTGGAAGAGATCGCTCTTAGCGATAAGACCACCCATTGTACCACTTTTATTTTTCTCATTTTTGTTAATATTTATGTTATTTTTTGTTGTACAATTAAGTGTTATCTATCTATATATCTATCTATGCTTCCCTATAGATTTTCTAAAAAAATATACATACGGCTACGAATTTTTGAAATTGTTAGAAATAATAATAAAAATTATAAAAGTCATCGAAAAAGCCATAAATATATAAGAGTAAGTAATTTTTAAAGGGTAGTAGGTAATACTGATTATTGCGTACTGAAATACTAAGTGTTGGTTAATTATTATTTAAGATTACCATTAACTGTCGTGCATATTTTGTTTTGGCGGAAATTTTAATTTTCCCCATCTGTAAAGATATTTAAGAAAAGTTGATTTAAAATTGATCGCATCTTTCACTATCTAAATACATAAGTTTACATTATATAACATATACATACTATGTATCTTTTTTGGCACAAGTCTATAATATTCCATTTCGGTTCGGTATCAACCCTAGCACTACACGCTCCGGCCTAATGTCACCGGCGCTTCAACTCTCACGTACAGAGAGAGTCACCGCTGTGGTTTTGACGGGAACTTGACCGGCGTCGAATTACTGCTCTTGTATTATTGTTTAAATAATGGTTTGAAGTGGATTTTGATAAGTAAAACTGGTGCGATTTTGTGTATTTTATGTCTGCACATGTGGATTAGTAGAAACGGTCAAACAAGTGCTTCGATGATAATCTGAATCTCAAGATAAGGTGTCTGTCTGCTTAGATGCCTTGAGATACTTTCGCCAACTATTTGCTGGCTCAATTTGCTTTTTTTTTATAGGATGAGGGTGACATACGAGTACACAGTCCACCTGATGGTAAGTGCTTGCTGCGGCCCATAGACATCTACATCTATCCTCTGTTACAAATCAAAATGTAGATGCGTTGTCACCCGTGAGGACTAAGATGGAATGCCTCATTTCCAGTAAAAAGGGCCTCCGGCCACCTGCACTCATCAAGCGAAACGCAGAGTTAAACCTCTACTTCACGCTGGTTTTCTGTGAGGTCGTGGTACTACCCCGGTTCGAGGCGGCCCATCCGTGCGACAGCAAAAGCTGCCGCGTGGCTCTACCACTGTATAAATCTCCCGAAAGCTATGCAATGTAACGCATCAACAAAATGTACAATATATAACAATATCATTAATGAAGACATGGGTTAAAGAACAAGCATCCAAACCAAAAATCTTGGTAAAATGACAATGTCAAATGTCTTTCTGACAACAATCATTGTTTATTATTTGAAATGACATTGACATTCAAATCCACGTGCGGTTGCATTAACTAAATAAAAATATCATAACTTAATTTTAATAGAATTTATTTAATAAACACTCATAGTTATTACATAAAAGGAAAGAGTTTATAAATCATTACGTTTAAATTAAATGTAAAGTTTAAGTGAATTGTATAGCAGCATGGCCAACTTATTGAAAGAGGTGTAAGTATTTGTGAGCTTGTTACTTATAAGATATTAGTTATAATAGTAAATACCTTTTAATTTTCCTATGCAAAATACGTAACAATACATTTCTTTTCAACTACTACCTCTGGCCAAAAAATGTATAATTTTTAATGCATGTATGCAAAGAAATGTCTTATTTAGCAGAAAATATTAAGAAACAAATTTTAACATAGAACCATACAATTAGAGGGCTGTAAAACAGATGACTATATTCTTTTGGCTACTTTTAAAAACTGATACCTCCTAGATGTTATCGCAACTTTTCAAATTTTTAGGGGGTAATATAATCATACCATAAGTACATAAGATCAAAGATATGATGCAGTAATAGATACGTATATCTGTCATTAGGACATTTACTAGACTGGAAAATCAGATTCAACAATCAGCAATTTATGTCTGTCTCTATATATTGTATAAGGTTGTTATTTAAAGGGTTAGCATAGTATTCATGTTTTCTCAGCAGAGAAATGTAATCTAGCAGCAGAAATAGGTAATTGGTCAGCAAACTATGGCTAGCAAACATTATTAAATCAAAGAGCAATTTTTGTTTCAGTAGTAGGTGGAGCCCTGCTAAAAGGGGCTCCTAATACTGGGAAGTTTATAAAAAAATAACCACGAAAAAGAAAGCAGAATCTGTTCACTCACTTTGCTCTCTCACTTGAACCCTGCCATCCCCTTCTAACCTAACCTGTTTGAGTCAGGGTGACCAAGTACCGAGCTCGCTTCGCTCGCTTTTATGGTCAATTATTAACAATTAAGTTGTATTTATGATTGAACAATCATCTATAGCAATTGAACAAACGATATTTAGTAATATTTTCTTTGCTAACCAATCGTGAATCTTGCTCATCAAGTACTTATTTTGCGGATTGACTGTTTATTAGGCAAACTCATATTATTGTAACCTGCCTATTTACAATTAAATTACTGAACATTATCAAGTTTCTTTGTGAAACAAGAATTGCCGAATGTTTTTTTTTTATTGCAGACAGAATCTTCGAATGCTAACCAAATGATTTAAATGCAGTTTTTGTGGCTAACCAAATTTTATTACGGCTTAACATTTAATTACTTCTCACTACTCTTCTTATTACTTTCCACATATTGTTTGAATCAAATTGAAGCAAAATGAGATGAAAATAATTAGTAATGTTTCATCAATATAACAGACAGTTTTTTCTCTGTCTAATAGCTTTCCATAATACATTGTTGAATATAGGACTTTTCAAAATGTGTGTCACCTGGCACATGCATAACTTGGAAAATACTTTGGCAGACGGATTGGTAAAAGCAGTATCTATACCTTGTGTTAATAATCATCACAAGAGCGTGAGATTTGATTTCCATAAGGTTATACCACTTAAAGGTTATAAAACTTATGTTTGTATTTTAAAACAAATACACATAACTTTTCTAAGTTTTATGCAATAACTAGCAAAGTGCATCACATGTAAATGTGATGCAATAAGTAGTTATATATTTATATACATATTTGCATAATTTGTCTAGAAGTTTTAACTCAAATACGTTGTTTCTTTAGATAGAGGCAAATTGCCTTTATAATTTCTAATCAAAACATAATTTCTATATTACAGTTATGAAAAGACAAGTGAGTATACAGCTTTTTACACTGGCGGAGATATACAGTGGACTTCTGATGGAAGCCATTTTCTATGTCAATGTGAAGACGTTATTAAAGTCATTGATATTAATACTTTATGTAACATTATGACAATTGGTGAAGCAATCGAAGACAGAGATGAAATGGATCAAATCTATACATTTCAACTATCTAACAACAATGATGTAATTGTAACTGCTCATAAAAGTGGCTTAATGAAATTATGGGATAGAAATACTGGGAAGCAATTAAAAGTTTGGCGATCAGGTCATAAAGGAGCTGTTGCCAGATTAGCTTTTGATCCTACTGATAGTAATATTGCATCAGCTGGTTCTGATGGCAATATCAGATTATGGGATCTTAATCACTACACTTGCATTAGTAGTCTCCATGGCGCTTTAGGTGTTTTTACAGTTGTTAAGTATCATCCAGATATCTCAAAACAAATTATTTTTGGAGCAGCTGATGACACCAAGATTAGATCGTGGGATTCAAAGACTGGTAAAGAACTTTTGTTATACTCTGGACATTTTAGCAAGGTAACATCCTTACTCTTTACTTCAGATGGTGAATACATGGTAAGTTCAGGTAGGGACAGGGTTTTGATACTTTGGAAAATTGGTGAAAGTAAAGCTGTGCGAGTACTACCAGTGTATGAAAGTATTGAAACTGCTATACTCTTGCCCCCATCATTTAAAATTCCGAATTTTAAGAAGAAATTAGAAATGGATGGAATATATGTTGCTTGTGCTGGTGAAAAAGGAATAGTAAAGGTGTGGAATTTACAGATGAGTCGTCTAATGTTTGAACAAAATAACAGCCTTGTTTCTCCTGCATCTGAAGAAGGAGGACTGGCAATTACTTATCTTCTATTTAATGAAGCCAGAAACATGCTATCTGTAGTAACAGCAGACCATAATATTATCATACATGATCTTGAAACGTTTAATTGTTTGAAGCAAATGATTGGTTTTACTGATGAAATATTGGATATAGTATTTATAGGAAAAGATGAATCACATTTTATTGTAGCTACTAATAGTCGAGATCTAAAACATTATGAATTAGACAACCTTAATTGTAAAATCCTTAAAGGACATACTGATATTGTTTTGTCTCTTGCATGTTTCCCCACTAGGCCTGATATGTTTGTATCATCTGGAAAAGATAATACTGTGAGAATTTGGCTTAGAGATATAAACAACGATATCAAATGTTTAGGAGTAGGGTCAAGACATACTGCATCTGTTGGATCAGTATTTACATCTCAAACATCAGATAAGTTTTTTACATCAGTAAGTCAAGACAACTGTTTGAAGGTATGGTCGGTTCCTAAAAACCTTGATGTATCTGAATTAAAAATAAAATCAACACATACTGAACTAGCTCATCAAATGGATATAAATTGTGTTGCTGTTTCACCAAATGATAAAATAATTGCTACTGCTTCACAAGACAAAACTGCTAAATTATGGTCAGAAGATTTAACATTGTTGGGAGTGTTAAAAGGACATAGAAGAGGGATTTGGTGTGTAAGATTTTCACCTGTAGATCAAGTAGTGCTTACGTCTTCTGCTGACTGTTCTCTAAAACTTTGGTCTATTGCTGATTTGAGTTGCCTTAAAACATTTGAGGGACATGAAAGTTCAGTATTAAAAATTGAATTCTTAAGTAAGGGCCAACAAATTATATCTAGTGGTGCTGATGGACTTCTGAAACTGTGGAATATAAAAACATCAGAGTGTAAAATGTCTTTAGACAATCATGATGGAAAAGTTTGGTCATTAGCTGTAAATAAAAATGAATCCATTATAATAACTGGTGGCTCTGATTCTAAATTAGTCAAGTTAAAAGACGTAACGGTAGAGCGTCGAGAAAAAATGGCTAAAGAGAGAGAAGAATTAATTTTGCAAGAGCAAGAATTACAAAATTTGTTGCATGACAAGAAATTGGTGAAGGCATTAAAATTAGCGTTACGTATGGATAGACCATTACATGTTCTCAAGATTATAAATGAAGTTTTAAAGTGTGGGAATAGTAAGCTTTATGAAACTATTAAAGAAATAAATCACACGCAAAAAGAAACGCTGTTAAAATTTGCTGTGGAATGGAATACAAATAATAAAAATTGCCATGCTGCTCAACTTGTGTTTAACATATTAGCTCCAGAAATTATTTCGGGCAATCTTAAAGTACCAAATTTATCTAGTTTCATTGAAGGTGCCTTACCGTACACCGAGCGACATTTCGAAAGGTTGACAAATTTACTACAAGATCTTAATTTTATTACGTATACTGTTAATTGTATGCAACCACACGCCGTTAAAAATTAAAAGCAAGTCGATTAAAAATTTGTGTTTTATTTTTGTTCACCAATTTACGAGGTGCCTTACATTGTTTTATCGAATACAATGTTCTATAGACTCATCTTATCTGGAATACGTACATATCTACTGACGCACGTAAAGTAATGAAAAATTAAATAAGCTTGTTAAATGTTAATTTACTTGTCCTGTATGTAAAAGCTCATACATTGTACACAGCAGCGCGCGCGCAACCTCTTTCTGCCTGATACGGAAAAACAGCCTCCCTCATGGTTAATGTTTCAGTTTAGTTGTGGTGAAACAGCCGTGCGTTGAGGACGTCTTGTGTACCTCCAGCGCGAGCTACGCACCGCGTTGTTATGTTAAACCTTTCAAAATGAATACAAAAACATTATTAGGAAATGTGTTATCAGTATTAATTTTTTGTTATTCATCAGGACAAAAGACGACATCGTAAGTTATTCCTGCTGTTTTAAGAATAAGAAAATTGTATAATGTTTTAGTATTAATTAATATATAAATTATATAAGTTATTATATTACATAATATTAATATTGTCACAGGCTTTCGTGAATTTAGTTGAAGAATCCTTCAAATTTATGTTTTATATTAAAAAAGCGTCGTGGTTCTAGTTACAAAATCGTCAAAATTACACCGTACGAAAATTATATTTTATTATCCATTTAAATAATAGGCGGACTAACGTGATGTGATGTCCATAAATCTTTAGTTTATCCTCGCGGTTTTAAAGTTCATGAATCACACTATAAGTTAACAATAGGTTGTAGACGTTCTTTATATAAGTAAGATTAATAAGAAGCCTTGCTGCGTGATATTCATACATAATTGTTGTAGCCAAGGAATTGCTTACTTTTTATCAAGTATGATATTAAAATTAAAGTCTTAATAAACATTTAAATGTTAACATAACAAAAATTTCACCCCCTAATTTTTAACTTGCCATCCAGAGAATATTCAGTTTTTTTAAATTTTTCAGTTACTAAAATATTATATTAGTTTTATTTGGGATTCGAATTGCGGGTTGACTGCACTTACCACAGTTCGTTACTATGATGTACATTAATGACGTACATTCTTAAATCTTAAAGACAAATATTTATTTTAATTAAAAGTGACAAATGTTGTTTTTTTTTTTTTGTGTAAATTACTACTTATTGTTAGTATTTAAACAAGAACGTTTTAAAGAGAAAACCTATTTGTAGATATTTATGGTTTCCATTATTTCTTAAGTATTGGTGATGATAGTCTTCAATGTTATGGTGCATAGTGCCTATATGAAGCACGTACGTGAATAACCGTGGCTAATGACTCTACTTATTCTAATTATGAAGTTAATTGTGCAGAACTAATTTATCGTATTATCGTATTATATTCATAATTTTGATCGTTATTAAATTTTTATTAATATGGTCTTTAGTGGGTAATAGTTAATCTGTATGTTTAAGAGCTAAGTAAATATAATATTCAAAACAATTTTTGGTCAAAATTAAATTCATAATCACATTCTATTGTTTAAATAGCTACAATAGCTAATAATAAGTGTTAATAATAATAATAATTAATAAATTTTATACGTGGTAGAGTCATGCTGTAGCTTATTTATATATTAGTAGTACAGTTGTAGCAGTAATGAGTCTGTCACAGAATACCATAGTAAAATAGCAGCTTAACACCGCTGTGTTTTGTATGGTGAGTGTAGAGAACCGGAGACCCTTATTACTGGAAAAGAGGCATTCCATCTTAGTCCTCACGGGGGACAACGCATCTACATTTTGGTTCTGTATTGAAGATAGATGTAGATGTCTATGGACCACAGCAACCGCATACCATCAGGTGGACTGTGTGCTCGTTTGTCACCCTATCCTATAAAAAAATAGGAGTTACGTATGAAGTTGCCATTTTAATGGAATAAAATTAAAATTAAACCAGCGTGGTCCAAGATTCGTGATTAACTGTTTTTACACAAAAACTATCACCATTAATTAAAAAATACTATGACATGCTATTGTTTGCCTTTCTATTGTTTTTATATTCATTATTTGAGTTAAAAATGGAGACGTCAAAAATTAAGATTGATTTAAAAATACGAGTTCCGATGTGGTTCTAACACAGCTCGCAATATCAGTGCTTAGTATGGGACAGGATACGACTAACGAGCGCACTGTGCGTTTTTCGTTTAATCGCTTTCGTAGTGGGATCTTCGATTTGACGAATGATTTACGAGGAAGCCTAGACTATAGGGTAAACAACGATGAATTAAAGTTAATGGTGGAAGCTAATCCTCATTAAACAAGCAAAGAACACCATGGTTTGATATTAGTTTACATTAAAAAAAATCGCGAAATGGATGCCTCGTGAATTACCTGTTGTGCCCGCGTTGCCTTGCTTTGATAAACAGGTACAGAAATTAAGGGACTTCTGAACGATAATCACACGCGAAAAACATAACGGCAGAACATAGTTCAAATACCGGAACTCATCCATAGACCATAAAAAAATAATGATAACTGTTTGGTGGTAACTTCAGGGTGTATTTCACTGTTGTATTTTGAGATCCGGTGTAACCATAACGGCAAATGTCTTTTGTGAAGAACTTCGAACAATATGGTGAAACTTTCAGAGAGACTACTCCGACTAGTTAATCGATCTTCGCGATCATTCCTCCATGATAACGCAAGACCTTACACTGTTCGTCAAATAGTTTCCCTCCGAACTGGCTACCTACCTACCTCCAACCGATTAGCATTTTTCTGCAAATAGGATAATTTCTTGCATGAAAAGATGTTTGATTTTTTCCTTATAATTAGCAATAATTTCAAATTACTAAATTCTAAGTGACGCTTTAGGCAAGTTATGTATGGACCGAGATGGCATAATAAATTCACAATAATATGTTGGTTAGTGGCAAAAAAGAAAATATAAAATGTGGCGATGTGATCCAATTATTAATAAAGTTTGTAAAAAGTTAGGGAGTGAATTTAGAGTGAAACTCGTCGGAACACCTACCGGAAACGGCAGAACATCGCTTAATGTATTAAGTAAGTTAGTAATTAACTCGGCAAAAGTAGATTCATTTAATAGTACTTTATGTACACAACAATAAAATTATAATTTTTATTTTAACGATTATAAATAGAATAGGTATATTGATTAATTTATAATATAAAGAACCTTCCTTACTCATCTACTTAATTTGTAAATATAAATTAAATAGATGGGCAAGGAAGGTTCTCGAGTGGCACTGGCAGCCTCGTACCGGTAGGCGAAGTGTGGGGTGGCCCCCCGCTATAGGAGTGACGACCTGGTAAGAAATGCAGGAAGTCGATGGATGCGGGAGGCTTAGTGCTTTGTGGCATTCCTTGGGGGAGGCCTTTGTTCAGTGGATTTGTGAAGGACTGTAATGATGATGATGATGATACAATAGATAGACTACGTCACATGTAAATGCAGCCTTTGGTGCTCAATATATTTTACAATGCTTAAGAAACACAATATACTGTAAGAAAAGCGCACTCTTTTGTCGTGCAAGTCATTGTTGATTTTAATGTTTGTTTGTTGTAAGAACTGAGAACTTCGTGGCCACGAGGTCTCTACTACATTGAATAATTAAATAGTTCCCTATTTATGTTTCTAATAGGATGGTGTCTGTTTTCATTATGTATATGTAAATATATGAATGATGTCTGTATTATGAATCGTAATAATATTAAATTGCTGATTTTCTTCCATAATTTTTTTTTGTCTTTATCATGTGAGTATTATAGACGAGCCTTTCATTTTCATATCTCTACAATCATAGTTTCAGGCGTTTTATCCGTGGATTAATTTCTCCAAAAGTTTAACAGCTTATCTTTCGTCAGATGGACTAATCTTGCTTAATAACATCGATTAACATGATCTCGTCATAACTCAATATATACTCCATAAAGTGTCCGAGTGAGTTTACATTTTACGTTGAATAGAAAACGGGTTCAATGTTAAATGAACAACTTTTTTTCGTTACATATAAAAGTAAAGTTACAGCCTATATACATCCCACTGCTGGGCACAGGCCTCTCACTTATGAGAGAGTTTTAGGACAAGATAGTGTCACTTGTTAGATGTATCACTTGTTTAAAAGCGAAAACTAAATTTTTTTGTCTATTTTATTAAATTGCTTTTTATTATAAAGTCGGGTCGGGTGTTGTAAGAAGTCCGAAACTTAACGGGAGTTCGATACTTTTTCAGCAGCACCAATACGTGCCATGGACGATTTTTGTTATACGTCAACACAGCTTAGAAGACTTACTTTCATTTTAGTGAGGACTAGAAGTAGTCAACAGCACATTGTATACCTTGTATTATAGGATCAAAACAGAAGTTTTGCAAGTAACACGTATTGATATAATATAATTTAAAATTAAAAAAATTGTACAACCGACTTCAATATAAATTAATAAGAACTAGCTGTTCCCCGCGACTTCGCCCGCGTGTAATTAAGGGTTTTAATTTTACTGCGCAGAACCCTAATTATTTATAAGTACACGTGACATTAGCTATCTGTTAGTGAAAGTCCCGTCAAAATCGGTCTAGCCGTTTCGGAGATTAGCCGGAACAAACACACAGATAGACAAATAGACAGACGGACAGACAAACATTTTAAAATTGTGTTTTAGTTATAAGTACAGTATATACTTTCATATGTATTTAGTAAAAATCTGTTATTTTGACATTACAAACAGACAATTCAATTTTATTTATTTGTATAGATAACTCAAAAGCTATTGGTCAGACCTAGATCACATTTATATGGGGCCATGTGAATTACCAGCTTTCAAATAAAAAAAATCATCAAAATCGGTTCACCCAGTAAAACGTTATGAGGTAACACACATAAAAAAACATACAGTCGAATTGAGTACCGTCTCCTTTTTGAAGTCGGTAGAAAAGAAGTAAAATCGATATATTATATTGATTTTGCTTTTTTTGTATGAAAAGTGTTAAGTAAGCACTGTGCTATATTTTTCTATATTTTTTTTGTTTGATTGTTAATAGACGTTTTTGATTTATGATACGTGGTAGACCCATTCTGCAGCTATATTAGTAGTATAGTTGTAGCACGAATGGGTCAGCTCGACCGGTGAAGGATCACGCTGTCACAGAATACCAGCATAAAATAGCAGCTTAAATCTGCTATGTTTCGTATGGTGAGTGTAGAGAACCGGAGACCCTTTTTACTGGAAAAGAGGCATTCCATCTTAGTCCTCACGGGTGACAACGCATCTGCATTTTGATTCTTTTTATTGAAATAGTATTTAAAACAAACAGAGTCTTTTAAACCGGATGTAGGTATCTCTGCTCTCTGGACCGTGTTTTGTGACACTTTTGGGGAGACCTATTTTAGCAATGAGACTTGTGATAGTCTCATTCCTAAAATAGGTCTTTATTGTAAA